GGAGGGCAGCTCTCTCCGACAGGGCGCAATTTAAATAAAATTATCAATGACTTGATGACTTCAAATGACTCTTTAATGAGGTGACAGAAGCTAGGAGTTTTCTTTGGATTTGTTATGAATTCTGAAGTGCTCTTTGCCTTCTCAACGACAGGTGTTTTCTCGTTTGATGGATTCCTAAATAGATAGCTACGCTAACATGTAGGTTTTAAGTTAATTGGTAGGGAGGGCTATGAATAACACGTCATTTGTTTGATCGGGATATGGATCGCTTTCCTCTTATAGGCATTTGCAATTTTCCACTCCATTCTTCAAGGTGAGGTCTAAATATAAGAACTTTACTGTTTTCTTTCATTTTCCCCAATCTGTTGTGTAGGTGATATATGTGTAGGAGTTAATGAATATTTTGTTTTCTAATTATCCATCAACCCATAAAAATATCTCTTCCCCTTTGATACCCACCGGAGAACCCAGGTGGCTCCCCATGGTTCAGAAAGTTCCATTCTGTTCCTTGCTGTTGGATGTGGGGAAATTTTTTTTTATAGAATTATTAATAGAATAGTCATTAAAAAGATTTTCTATATTGCTGATTATTTTTTCTCATTAAGTACCTTTTTTACAACTGTTAAACTTTACCTTATTGATTGCATGATAAAAAATGATGAAATTATTAATGAATAATAGATAATGAAGCCTCGGTCGGCGGCCCAGAATAAAAAAAATCCTTGTTATGGTTCATGGGGCTGTCTCTTATACACATCTAGATGTGATTGGCAAATTATGAATATTTACACCTGTCAAATGTCTTGATTTCTGTGGTAAAATCAGTTTTAGTCGATTAAAGAAACATTTCCATTTTTACCAAACCCAATATAAAGCGACCTTCACAACATCATCATTAGACTGATGAGTGTGTCATTAAACTGTAGTAAAAAAATGTTAATGGCTTTTGTATTAGCTTTTACACACACAGCTATTGTTTAGTTTTTCACCAATTAGCAGCAAGTCTCACTTGCCAAAATATAAGTAATTCCATGTTTGGAGTCTCTGCAAATATAATTCTCCTGATGATGATTGAAGCAACTCAATCGAAAAGTCGAGACATTCTCAACAAACAACAGTTCCTTTCAGAACTTATCTACATGATGTATATCAAGAATTTGATTAAAAAAAATTTTACTTTAATATTTTAATCAAATTACAGTCTACATATAGTACATAATATATATATACAGTATGTTATTATGAATTAAGTGGATCATTGGATTCAACTAATCTAGTCATTACTTTACAGACCTTTTTCTATGAAAATCGATTAGGCATACTAGCAAAAAATGAACGTTGTTAATAATCACAGTGCCATAATTAACAACATTTTTTTTCAGAACTATTTACGTGATGTACCGTAAGAATTTCATTGAAAAAAAATTTAACTGAATTACAGAAACTACATATAGTACATATTAAATATACAGTATATTATTATAGATTAATTGGATCATTGGATCCAATTAATCTATTGATTAATTTACAGACCTTGCACATTGATGGGTCTATATGAAGAATATAGGAATGGCGTTAATAATTATAGTGGTTGGAGATTTATGTAGCACATAAAACCAAGGACTTATAACAGTTATAAGTCCTTGATAATATGTGGTCTCTATGCACTGTACAAAAAAAAAAAATCTATTCTACAAGGTCAACTGAGCTAACCAAGCTAAAAAAAATTAACTGAAACAGTCTAACGTAGAGGAACCAACACTATCGCACCGTTCCCCTGCAATTTGAGACCACCGACAAGCAGTGGTTAGCAGGTACATGACTTGCAGGTGCTTGAATAGTGCTGGAATCTGGCCTACCCTTTCCTAGCAACAAAAATGAAAAATTAACAGAGACAAATTAAAAAGAAAGAAAAATGCGAGATTTAAGGCTGTGCTTGAAAACAGAGAGCGAGGAAGACTCACGAATGTACTGCAGATGGGAAGTTCATTCCAGAGCTCGGAAGCAGCAACCGAAAAAAGACTTCTCTCCGTATTTCAAGTCTTCTGGAACAAGTTGCTGAGCGAAGATGGATTATGTCAGCCATGAAGGATTACGAGGGCACTTGTATGTGTGAACAAGAATTTTGAATGCAATGCGTTGTTTAACTGGTAGCCAATGGGGAGTTTTAAGAGTAGGGTTGATGTGCTGTACTTTGGGTAGTTGTTTGATAAGACAGGCTGCTGTGTTTAGTTGAAGCTGTATCTTCTTGATTAATTTGTCCGGTAGTCCATGAAGGACCCCATTACAATAATCAATACTTGATGTTACATTAAGGCCTTGCTTGAAAACACAGAGCAAGGAAGAGACTCAAATGTATATGAAATAGATCAATTCTAGATGTATTATATATACAGTATATTATTATAGATTAATTGGATCCAATTTTAATTTACTGATGAAAATTGATTAGGCAAGCATTCAGTATAAAATATGTTCACTTTAATATTTTAACTGAATTACAGAAACAACTATGGTACATATTATTTATACAGTATATTTTTATAGATTAATTGAATCATTGGATCCAATTAATTTACAAACCTTTTTCTATGAAAATTGATTAGGCATATTGTGCTTGCAAATTGATGGCTCTATGTCAATAATAAAGGAACAGCATTAATAATCACTGTGTTATAATTAACAAAAGTTCTTTTCAAAACTGTTTACGTGGTGTACTCAATATAAAAGTATTCAATATAAAATATGTTTACTTTAATATTTTAACTGAATTACAGAAACTATAGATGGTACATATTATATATACAGTATATTATTATAGATTAATTGGATTGAATTTTTTTTTGTTTTTTTGCCATATTTATAGAGGGTGACCCTTCCAGCGTATTCTAGATGGTCGGCTGATATTCAGGGGCCATCAGGTTTCCAATTGCAGCCGACAAAAACCAAATAATAGAGAAAATCTCTTTAGAATATGCTTTGTACACAATACATACATTTTGGACATAATGTGTAACTGTGCATGTTCATTTCATATGCTCATATAAAAACATATGCAAACATGTGCGTTTGTGATTGGTCAGTTGTCAAGTTTGATATTCCAGAAAGGTTCGTTCTGGTAAAGTGTTCTTGGTGATGTTTCATCTTAACGAGAGGGCAGTCTCCATCTCCATTCATAGGATGGGTTACAGCTAGTTTACCATTGTTATCATAGCAATAACAACCTTGCAGAAGAGCACTACCGTAAATGTTCCATGAAGCGACCCCCTTGAATAAGCGGCACCACACCAAACATTTTATTTCGTTAGGCGCTGCTATCAAAAAAGCGCTATGGCGTTTACTATAGATCTTTGATTTTGAATAAACGGTGCAAAACTTAATAAAGAGTGTATACCCAACTTCATTTGATGTTTCGTATCATTGGGAAACTAATTAATAATCGATTTCTCACAGAATCACAGATGAGCCAATCCACAATACATGATACCAATTTAGCACTACATTAAATTGCAATAAGCACATTGCTTCAACAATTGCCGCTCTTGAACAATTGCTGCCTTTAAGCCATCAAAACATTTATAATCGCAGAATACTTTTTTTTTGTTCATGTTTTTTAATATGATGTCTATAAAAACGCATCTTTGAAGATAACCTATATTTTCTATGCAATGTTACATTAACTGGTAAATGACAATAAAGAATCCGTTGGTTATACAAATTCTACATATTTATTCAGATTTAGTCTTAAATCATGAAAGTAACATCAATAATTAATCCCGACCCATTCATAGAATTCTTCATTCTAGGATTTGGCTAGATAAATAAACTCACTTGCATATGCTCACTGACCGTGACAATCACAGGAAAGAGAGGCAATGTAAAGTAGTATCTATAACAACAAGAGTCAGTTTTCAAATGTATCATTTAAAATGATACCTCTGCTCTGATTTTCTTTTATGCAGTGGTATTTTCTTACAAGTGGAAGCACTGGAATATTTTTAATTTTCCATCAGTAAGGTTTAAATTTACGTGCTGCTTTCATTTCTGCAATTCTTAGCTTGTCCTCTTCAAATTTCTTCCGAAGTTCAGCGATATCTGAAAGAAAATATTTCCAGGAAAAGATTACAACGGATGCCTTTGGTTAAGTTTTTATATTTCAATGCCGAAAATTAACGTTTTACAATTTTAAAAAAACTATGAAACACCTGCAAGGGTAGAGTCATTCAACTCTACCAAAATCCAGATTGGTCCACTTGATTAACTAATATAAAGAAAGGATCAGCTATGTTTCCACTTTTCTAAGAATATCATCATTAATAAAAAACATCACTGAATAGTCTTGGACAAACATTACATACTGTATCCCCAGATGGAAACTCTTTTAGTGACCTAAATACATATTAATGTTAAGAAAAGCTTGAACCAAAATTCTTTTTCTCAGAAAATCAGCAACATCTCTTTAAACATACATCACGTTTTCTCTAGAGATCAAAAGCGACATTGCATTATTCATCACAAACTACAAACCAACCTACAACCAACCTACATTGATATTCCAATTATTACCACCAGTAATAATGAATAGTGCCCTCATTACCCTGTAATCGTACTCCCATCACCATCAATCACACTACAACTGATCATTGCCATTAGTCATGTGACTTATGCAGCCTTCAGAAAAAAAAAACAACTCTCTGTCTTCATCACAGCAATCCAATCTGTTGAAAAGCATTTCACCGTGCAAATTCTCGTAAAGTTCAATTCTAATCGTTTTGAATTGCCTCGCTGTTTGCGTGTGGGCAAAACAAATACGAACAATGCTGGAATTAAGATACATGCTAAGATTTTTGTCGGTTGACTAAAAAAACAAATCTAGGGCAAAATCCGCGATGCAAACTACTCGATTCAATCATAGTCAACAAGCATGTTAAAAGTTTTTGCCTCCTGGTCTTATATAATAAGGGCAATCTATGAATGACGCGGAAATGATTACAAAGTGAAATACCATGCACAATTTAACGTAATGAGCGATGCACTTATCGGTAGTGAACAAAAATTAAATCACTCTAGAATGTTCACAATTTGCAAGTCACAAAAAAAACTGGGGGAAAAACAAGTGTAGCATGTGACGGAAAATATTAGTTAATGCCTTTTACCAATTTTCATGATTAAACTTTTGTGCTTACGTTCACGTTTTGATTCTCGCATTTGGAATGTATAGAAGTTGACAAGTTCCTTCCGTTTACGTTTTTTAATTTCTTTGGCTAATGTGCGCGTTTGATTTTTCTCCGTTCGGGCAATGCCTGGCTTTGCTCCCTTTCTTGAAACAGTTATCCACCCTTCGTCATCAGCCTCTTCCTCAGCCTTCTGCTTTTCATCTTCCTGCAGTAACGGAAAAACAAAACAAAACAAAAATTTTTTAGAAAAATTACATATATGCAGTGTATCAAGTATAAATTCTATTATTGTTATTTCATCTTTAATTAAAGTTTGTTTACACATTGACGGCTTTATCATAATAACATTAAAATTATTATCACAATTTTATTATCACTAACATTATGGTGTATCATCATTATCATTATTACTATAGTTTTGGCATATTCTGGCAACAAATTAAGTTTTTCATAGCAAAACATTGGTAAATAATTAAAAATATTTTTGTTTTTGATATATGACTTTAAATTCGAAAGTGATATATTGTAACACATGTGGTTCTTTAAATATATGATTCAAATAGAAGTTTAGTCTTGGTATTTTGCGAGGCAGTTATCGCTAATAACACATTTTCCTTTTTTAATTGACATTCATGTAATTGATTTTTCCCCCGATTTTGTTAGTGTTCACCCAGTTTTTTTAGTTTTTAAATTTCAATGTTTTTCTGATTTTTAGGTGACCTTGACTCTAGTCTTAAACCTATTTTGATCGCCTTCCACACAATTTTGTAACTATAATTGATATGAATTATATTTTGTAAGCCTAAATTAATTGTACTTTTTGTTGATTATTTAAACAAATAAACACATTATATCAGTATCATTATCATGATTAGCATAAATGTACATGAATAATAATAACAATAATAATAATAATAATAATAATATGTAATGGCAATATAGCGTACAAAGTCTAAAATGTTATATAATAAAATTTTAAATCATTGTGTCATTATTTATGGCTTTAAAACTAATTAACTAACATATGGTGAGTTTTCATATTTTTATTACATTTTAATTAGATATGGGTAGGTGAAGAGTTCTGCTCTCTGCTGATATTATGACATTAATAAATGGCTGTCTCTTGTACACATCTAGATGTGTATAAGAGACAGCTATTAGCAAAAGCAGATTGCCTTTCAGTAAAATAAGCATGTCATCATGAAATTGAACACAAATACGTCACATCAGTGTCAGGTAAGTAAATAGAAGATAAATTAACACAAAATTGGCTACAGATTGATGGAGATAACGCGCACACTAGGACATACTAATGTGTGTATGTAAAGCTACTTTGAAAATGCCAGTTTTGAAATCCACTGGTTGAATAATGTACAGTATTAACATTCAGACATCAAACGATATTAGCACGTTACAAGTACTAAGGAACGTTGATTAACAAACTACAAAGATGTGTATAAGAGACAGGTTATCGCTAATAACACATTTTCCTTTTTTAATTGACATTCATGTAATTGATTTTTTCCCCCGATTTTGTTAGTGTTCACCCAGTTTTTTTAGTTTTCAAATTTCAATGTTTTTCTGATTTTTAGGTGACCTTGACTCTAGTCTTAAACCTATTTTGGTCGCCTTCCACACAATTTTGTAACTATAATTGATATGAATTATATTTTGTAAGCCTAAATTAATTGTACTTTTTGTTGATTATTTAAACAAACAAACACATTATATCAATATCATTATCATGATTAGCATAAATGTACATGAATAATAATAACAATAACAATATTTAACAATAATAATAATAATAATATGTAATGGCAATATAGTGTACAAAGTCTAAAATGTTATATAATAAAATTTTACATCATTGTGTCATTATTTATGGCTTTAAAACTAATTAACTAACATATGGTGAGTTTTCATATTTTTATTACATTTTAATTAGATATGGGTAGGTTTTGATACATTAGTTGAACAGGCTTAAATAGCACAATTGTTATCATAATCAACCACCATTGTCATATATACCATTATCATTACTGTATTAGCCACATTACTAAACATGATAGGAGTGTTTCTGGTGGGAATCACTTGTGAAGTTTTTTTTGCAAGTATTCTGGAATGTAGGGCAAAATAATACTGGATGATATTTTCCTAAGGCGAACTCACATCGAACTATTACTAACATCACCATCATCGATATCACCACCACCACTGTCATCACCCACCACCTTCAACGCTAGACTACGACAATTACCACCATCACCAATGACCATCACCAATGCCAGAAATTTGCCTACAAGGGGTCCAACATGTCCAACGGAGGGGTCTGAACCAAAGGGCCAACTAGAAATTTGGTCTGGTTGCAGAATAAAAAAATCCCCCCCCCCCCACCGCTGGCACCAACATTGTCATCACCATCATCATTTTTATCACTCACCACCTTACCCCTAAAAAAGAATCTTACTCGGTGCTAATTGATTGATTGAACTCTATAATCATATCACCACTATATGCCGTCATCATCAACATGTATCATCACTGCTACCATACTTTTCATCATTACCAAATGAAATTCTCGGAACCATTTGATACTCGTTTTCTTTGATATACATTTATCAAGTTCATTAACCTAAAACAGCCTGTATATCCCTTCTTGGGAAAACATTAAGATATTATCAATATTAAAAAGAAAAAAAATCAAAACGTACAGGCTAATACATTTCATTAGCTATTTACTTAATGACGAAAAAAAAAAAACAAGTCACAGTTGCGAAAATTGCCATCCGACTATTAGCAAAAGCAGATTGCCTTTCAGTAAAATAAGCATGTCATCATGAAATTGAACACAAATACGTCACATCAGTGTCAGGTAAGTAAATAGAAGATAAATTAACACAAAATTGGCTACAGATTGATGGAGATAACCCGCACACTAGGACATACTAATGTGTGTATGTAAAGCTACTTTGAAAATGCCTGTTTTGAAATCCACTGGTTGAATAATGTACAGTACTAACATTCAGACATCAAACGATATTTAGCACGTTACAAGTACTAAGGAACGTTGATTAACAAACTACAACTGTTTGGTGCGATGTACTTTACATAAATGCCAGAGTGACGCACTAGGCTGGAATAACGTAGAACTTGTTAAGTTCTCAATACTATGTTGATTAGTACTGTACATCAAACTCCAAAGATTAACATGCCGTTCAGCGTTCATTGGTGACTATGCTATAAAACTCATTATTCACTTCCTCTACCGGTGATTATTTCCAAAACAACTGCAATTAAGAATTGAGTAGGCCTACTTTGGTAGGCACTCTACCAAGGCAGTTAATTTCTTCAATATGCCCGAAGACATTTGGCAACATCGCACGATTGTTGCTCCGACACCAATCACGCAGCCAGCTAATTTTCTTTTGGAAGTGACATTGGGGAATTGAGGCGGGGTTTGCCCACTTGGAACAGAACCCACCCACTTTGGACCGTAGGTTCTTAATAAGAATAAGGAAAGAAAATCGTATACCTTTAATTTATTTTATTAGAAATCCACTCATCATTTGGTTATTCATGTGTATATTACTAGGCCAATTAAATTTAAGTTTATACACAATTTTTTAACCTTAGATACCGTAGGCCAACATTTATTAATTGTCACAAATGTTATGTTCACTCATGTCTTGCACCCCTCAGTTTTTGTCCTTTGTTTTGTGAAATTTATGCAACGTATTGCACTTCTAGTGTGAACAAGATTCAAGATTTTCTCTTCTGGTTTAACCCACCCATTTTTATTGTAATGTTATATTCTTTTATCATTGGTGAAATAAACATGGAACTATCTGTACCATATGGCAAAAAAAAAAAAGAAGAAATCTTGGATCTGCAATGGATAATGGTGATCGTTATGATCACAGCCCTCAAGCCCTGTTTTATATTGTACATTTTTGGCTTTTGGATGAAATAAACGTTTGTTTGAATTGAATTAAATATCATTGATGATGATGATGATTAATGAAGATGATGATGGTGGTTGTGGGAATGAGATGATTATAGTCAAGGTTGATAATGAAGACTTCTCAAGTTCCCAAAATGCATTTCTGTAACAATTTCTTCAGATTTCTGTAGTAAATAAAAAATTTCCGTAGCACCACCCAATACTTTGCCTTGAGTGCAAGAGAGAGTTATTTGAAAATCAGCCGACCGTCTTTGAGGCAAATTGTCTGTAATTTGATGTGCAATTTCAAACAAATGGGACAGGATGATGATTTTCTGGTCGATTTTTCTAAGTTTTGACAATAATTTATCAGTAATCTGACAAGTATGAGTTGTTTACGGACAATGTAACCAAAGATAATGCTGGAAAAGTCATTTGTTCTCGACTTCAAACCTATTAATTTATGGGCCTAGACCTATGGTAAATTTCCATACGTCCGTAATTGGGCAAAATTTCCGTAGGAAATAGGCCTAAGTACGAACGTTCCGTAGTACTTGAGAAGTCTGATGATGCCTGCTAATTATATGACAATTTACTACATAGCTACACATTCTAGGAAGTGTTGCCTACTCTGCTGCAGATCACATCACTCCACGAGAGAGCTCACAAAAATGTAAATATGGTTGACTTTAATTACAGATTGTAAAGCACACACTGGAACTATAGAATAAATCGTAGTTGTTGCCATGATGATGTCACCTGTCAACTTGTCAGGCAATATTTATTACTTAGCAACTAATGCTCAGGTTGTCAATTTAATGCTTGCCATCATTCTGTTTGATTATTTCAAGTAAAATACCGGTATTTGCCAACTAAATAAATTAAGTACAACATTTAAGATTTTATCACTTTACCTTTCCCATGGACTTATAAAAATATGCAGTTGTTTAAATCAAGAGTTGTCTGTGTTAAGCTAAGAACGTTTGATATTTAAATAGACAAATTTGTAGATTTAAGTGAGTTATTAAGTCATTTGAAAAATTAAGAATGAGTAGATAACGATCATTCTTAATCCTTATTCTTCATCCCCATATTTAACAATTTTAAAATCATTTTTCATAATTATATCACATATAATATTTATAATTTTAATCTTTTATATTTTTAAAAAGTATATTATTACATCTAATATTATGACTATTATTAAATTTTTGTTATTGTAATATTTATATTATCTATTATTAAATTTTTGTTAGTATTTTATTATTATTTATTTAAATAATTTTAGTCAAAATTTATAGTTTTACTTACTTTTTTATTTTTAATCTAAATTTCATTCTACAAACAAATGCATACATATAGAGGTATCCATCTTTACTATCTGAAGAGATAAATTTCACTTACGATCTTCTTATTCTTGTCGTACCCTAACATAAAATCATCGATTTCCTTTTGCAAGAGGTCAATCTTCGGACGTTGGTCTCTGTATTCTTTGCACCATTCTACAAAAAGAAAAAAATATATATATATATCCTTTTTTTCTGTTCAGTAAAGTAGTTTTTTATTGATGATAAATTTCTGAGTGGAAGAATATTAAGACATGTTTAAGATTTCGGAATTTGTTTCAAATGGATAGTGCATGATGAAATGTTTAGATATGCATAAAGCTATGTCCACACTCTCACACTAAAAACTGTTGTATGCCCATATATAGTCATAATATGCCCATATATAGTCATGATATGCCCATATATAGTCATGATATGCCCATATTAAGTCATGATATGCCCATATATATTATGACATCAATAAATGGTTTATTAAAAGCAATAAGTGCAGCAGTAGTAGTACAGTTAGTTCGAGACTGTATTTTGTTTCATCCTAGCCTAGAATAATAATAGGCCTACAGTTAGTACAGTCGTCGTTATGATCGTAATAATAACATTATTTCGATAGGGTTGCATGGTCTGAATGTACACGATTGATGATGGATGATGAAAGGTCACTTAACTTCATATCCCATAATGCCTGCAAGTCACGGTGAGTTTTAAAGATGACCTTGTTATTACCCACTAAACGTACGAAGTATGAACGAGAGTACAACATGGGCCCGCAGGCTACAGACAGAGTTTTATCGCTAAAGTAAAAGGCAAGTTGATGTATGAACATAAGCTTGGAGAACGCTAAATGAAAGATGGAGGAAACATCTAATAGTAGAAACTTTCAAATATATAAATGGTCAAGGACTATCTTAATTATCATCAACATTTAAATTCAATGATTCACTCCATTCCAAATGCACCCATAGTCAAAGTAGTAACACATTAATAACACCTAATTGGAAAAACCTTCAAAGGTAAAAGAACTTATAAATTCAGGAGGGAACATCTACTAGCACAAACTTTCAAATGTATTAATGGTCAAGTACCATCTTATTTATCATCAATGTTTAAATTCAATGATTCACTCCATTCCAAATGCACCCATAGTCAAAGTAGTAACACATTAATAACACCTAATTGGAAAAACCTTCAAAGGTAAAAGAAATTATAAATTCAGGAGGGAACATCTACTAGCACAAACTTTCAAATGTATTAATGGTCAAGTACCATCTTATTTATCATCAATGTTTAAATTAAATGATTCACTCCATCCCAAATGCACTATAGTCAAAGTAATGTAGTAAAACATTAATAATAACACCTAATTGGAAAAACCTTCAAGGTAAGAGAACTTTTAAATTCAGAACCTCAAACCAATGGAATAATTTACCTGCTCAAATGCAACCGAAATAAATATTAATGAATTCAAAAATTCCATCTATATTGATTCCAATGTAATTTTTTTAGTCAAGATTTTTTACCTTTGTACATTTTTATTTGATTCCTTATGCTTACATTACTTTAACTTTAATTACTTTTATTCTGTACTGTACTTTCTAACGGGACCATTTTGAAAAGCAGTATTATGCTACTGAAAATGCAATCCAGTAAAAAGAAAGAATAAATAAATAAATAAAATGTTGCATGTTTTTGTCAAATATAATTTGATAGTCTGGACAGGCCAGAATCTTATAAAAGAGAATAAACCATCGGTAAAGTTCCTGTGTGATTATAACTGAAACGATACTGGGTTTGGTCTATGGAGATTGTGCTTCTAACAGGTCATTCCATTCATATGGACCAACCAACCAACTTAAATGGAAAACACTTTCAGAAATGCAAATTTTGATCGCAATATTTTTGTATATAAAATTCTTCATCGTTTGTCACCTACCTATCTTTTAAATATCTTTAATTACTGGTGTATATAATTACAATTTAAGACACAGCAGTTCAAATGTTGTTTTGCCATTACCTAAGATTGAATATAAAAAAAAACCACAGTCTATCCTATAAAGGGGCATTGGCATTGAACAACCTCAGTGTTGACATTCAAACAGCCCAACACTGCATTCATTTAAATTCAAATTAAGTCAAATTTAAACATTATTTTACATTTTCATTTCTGATTTTACCATGCTCAAAATATTTGTATATCTTATATATATTGTATTATATTGTATTTATGTGTATGGCCCCAGGGAAAAACAACCCTGTGTTGATCTGGGCCTCTGTGGATAAATAAAGTTGAACGTGAACTTGAACTATAGAAGCCTTTAATGGGAAACGCGCACCTGTAATCAGCTATAGTAGCCTAGATCAAAATTCCGGATATATAAAATTGATAAGAAGATTAAAAAATTGACTGATTGATTGCAATATTCCATAATGTTGCATTAACACTTGTACTTCTTCGCAGTCAGACAGTGCCTTGCCCGAGGTCACAATTGGAAATGTACAGAGAGGGATTGAACTCCCGTCCTCAAAGTTAAGAAGCTGAAACACAACCAGTGCCAAAACACAAAATTAGGTTTGCGTTTAATGATGACCCCCTTGTTGGCGACCTTGGTCCTGCTAAGCCCCACCCCTTGGATACTGTTGCTAAGGTCCAACACTTTACAAAAAAACAAAGCAAAATCAAGATTTAAAAATCATAAAATTATAATTATAATTTATAATTGGTTGGCTGCAGACCATCTATCATCCAACTCTTTATAAATAAATCAATTCTTTTTGTAGTGTGTACATGGATTATATGATTCAATTTTCAAAAAAAAAAAAAATTTAAAGTAGGTTGATATTGTCAACTCAAATATTAACAGTAATTACACCAATATTCATCATCATCAATTGTATAACTATCTGCTTCATCAAAGGATGAACACCTGAATCTATTGGTATCTTTTTAGAATAACAATCAATATATGTTGCGTATTGTTGTTTGGTAATGTATATTACTGGCATGTGTAATATATACGGTTCAGATACTGCATCTACCTGGCTAAAAACAGAGCCGAATGCAAGGCTAATCTTCCAAATAATACCATTGTATGATTTTTAAATGTTCATCAAAATCTTATTTCCCTTTATTTAAAACTACATTCATTCATACTAACGTAGTTATTAGCTTCATTGCAGTAGTAAATTCACGTGTGGTACAGGTAATCTGCACAGAAGACGAACATGATTTAAACAATATATAATTTGTATATCGTGCATATAAGACAACACCCTGTTTTTCGATCATAATTTGCTATTTTAAGCCTCTTCTTATATGCGAGTATATACGGTAGATTTCTTTAAATGTCATCTTAGATAAAATCTTGACATTGGGCAATTTTTCACTTCAATAACATTTTATTTCCATGCTTAAAAATGGAAAAGATAACATCTTCTTGGAAGTAAGAAAAAACAAGCTTTTAGCTAGGATGCCATCGTAAAGAAAAACATCATTTCTAAATATTCAGAATGAGAAAGTAAACAAGAATTTGATTTTTCAGGGAGTTCCTATAACAAAATATTGTTTGAAGGTTTGCGTAGCATAGTAACAATTGATAAAATGCTTGCGGTACACCACGTAAGTTGTTCTGAAAATGTTACGTAAATAACAGAAAGGAGAGGTAAATTTCATTTGTCAAAATAGCTAGTCAAGATATTGATCTGCATCCAGGCCTATCTACCACTACATTAGGGCTTTTGTAGTGAGATCATAAAGAGAATGCCTGCGGCGTTTACTGGATGGCGTACAACGAGTTAAGCTAGTCAGCCTACTTCTGCCAGTGCTATTTTTTATTTTCCAAGAGACAAATAGCATTCATTTGTATTCGTATATGCTTCTAAAATTATAATTGTAGCACAGATGCAAATTTCAACTTGCCTATATCACCTTGTAGTTTAGTTTCTATATTCGTATATGCTACATTACCAAACAACTTGCCTATATCACCTTGTAGTTTAGATGTGTGTGTGTGTGTGATTGCGAGCATGTATGTTCCCAGTAAAATAAATAATAATAGAGACATTGATAAAATCAAATGACACGGTTGATTTTTTATGATTATTGAGTCTGTAACTTAGTTTAGTGTCTTAGTTTAGTATCAGTGTCTATATATATATATGTGTGTGTGTGTGTGTGTGTGATTTCAATGTCACATGTTGAAGCTTGCGGTACACCACGTAGGTAGTTCTGAAAAGAACTGTTGTGGTTGAGAAAGTTTCGACGTTTCGATTGAGATGCTTCAGTCGTCTTCAGGAGAATAATATCTGCAGAAATTCCAAACAGAGAAATACTTATATGTTGGGTAGATAGGCTGGTTGGTGATTGGATGGATTGGATTTCAATGTCCTTTTTCATTTATTCATTGTTTTGTTTGTAATAAGGGAGCAAATTTTTTTCTGAATCTACTAATCTTTTAGGAGCCAGTACACCCTCCAATTAAGGATCCCCTTTGAAACCTCATGAAGTGGTCTTGGTGTTCAGTTTTCAATAAAGTTAGCATTTTGCTAAAGAATTGTTAGTTCAGTTGATACTGTTAAAAAGTGGTTTCAAGTTAGAGAAATCATAACATTAGAGTGGGTCTCCAATTCCAATGTTGAACTATATTAGAGAAAGTCAAGGATATTTAGTATAAGTATCAATATTGATATATGTCAACTTGAAAAAAAAAATAATTATAATAAATGTAGTAATTCCACCAACTTGCTCCTAGATTTCATTTTAAAAAGAAAAATGAGATTTGGTTTATAGAGAAGCACAAATTTCCATTCTGTAATTACTTGATGTTGAATATATATATAAAAAAAAATTACGAAAAAAAACACAATAGAAATAATGCATGAAGTATTACCGGTATTACAGAAGTCACGTGATCAAAAACCACTCTATGCCGATTAAAAGAAGCAATTTTGCCAAAAAGAAAACCAAAGTTCATCAGTCCTTGGAAACCTTTTGTACTTTTCAATGTTTAGTTATTATTACTTCTTATAGGCCTATATATGGAAACTCACGTTAGGGGGATGAGAAATTGTGATGTTCTTCTGATATTCGTTCTGAGGAACATATACTTATTAGTGTTCACAAATGCAGAAACATGAAGAGACACTTTTACAGTGCCATCCCA